GAGTTTAGGGCTGTTGTACATAGGGTTGCTATGAGTCGCAAGTGACTCGACGGCACATAACAACAACAACCACCACCATCTTTTTAATTCATAAAAAGAAGAGAGGGAAAAATGAAAGCATCAACAGAAATACATTGAGGAGCCAGAGGATAAAAGAATTCTAAACTCCAGAGTGGTGATCAATGCTTTCTAAGAGTACACACAGTAACTATACAATTTTCACAGTTTGTTATTCATAAAGATCCATTTTACTATATACATATATGATTGGGGCAGTAGATCAGTAAACGTATGCAATGAAAATGGAATTTCAACACACCTGGGAAGACCCAGACTTTGTCACCGGAGGGGCAATCCTGGCTGACTTCTGAGTCATTGAGGATGCTGGACTTGAACTGCCCTGAGCAGACCGTCCTGTGAGAAAGAGAAGCCAGTCAAAACAGATAGCATTTATTCCCATCACTTCTCCTATCACATGTATCCTTTCCTCAAATCTAAGAAAACAAATTACTGATTGTCCCTGGTTCCTTTTTAAGACCCTTGTAATCAATAGTGTCTTTCTGTCAGATGTGTTGACCTCTGCTCTAAGATACTGAAAAGCATATGTTAGACCTGTAAATGTGAAACCCTTTACAAAGCAAACAATGAGTATCCAGGTCCAGGACCCAGAAACCATTGGGTTCATCCTTGTTACTTATAAAGTAGTATTCTCAAGGACAGAGTACTCCTGCCGTACTTCTGGGAACTGGGGAACAAAACTTTAAAACTACCTAGAACAATGATTCCCCAATACCCTGTAAAAACTCACAGGGTCTTCAGTAGCCTTCTGGAACTCTCTCAGACAAGTCTCATCCTATTGTGCATTAAAATAATCTATGGAGCTTTTTAAAAAACAAATACACTAAAGAGTCACACCTCAGCCTCATCCCCAGAGTCTGGTAAATTAAGAAAGTGGTTCAAAAACTCAAACTCATTGCTGTCAAGCAAAAACTAATTCATAACGGATGTTCCATCAGGTTTCCAAGGCTGTCAATCTCATGGGAAGAGATTGTCCAGTTTTCCTTAATGGAGCTGCTAGTGGATTCAGACAACCAGAGGTGCAGCCTTTGAGAGCTCCCTGAAGAGTGGATTCCTCAGTAATTCTAGTATGAAACTGGGACTGAGAACCAACAGACTAGGATCTTCCATAATAAAAACAATAGGGGCAGGGAGATTTGAGTGGTGAGAAGTGGAAAGAGGTTATTATATGCATTCCAGGGTCCAAGTTTTATCTCCCAAAGAGCAACAAGATATTAAAATTAATGTAATTTTTCTTCATTTTGGGATTAGAAAGATGTCTTTCAGAATCTAATGAAAACTATGGACTCTTGTAGGAAGAGGCTATGGCAGATTTCACAAGGCAGCCTTTCTCCCAGGCAGTAAGAAAATATTTCAGATCACCATGATTGCTTAGCATTTACCAAAATAATACATGTCACTCATAAACCAAACAGCCAAACTAGATATTACCCCCCCAGCATTCATGAAAGTAACCACTCAAAGCCCTAAGAGGTCTGGGAGACATCATCTTAACCACATGGCATGCACCAGGTCAGACAATGAAAGAAAGCATGTGCTCCAAATGATACATCTCTGTGGCACTACTGCTAAAGCTTCTAAAATGGAAACCAATCATGTAGAAACAACAAATCCTCTTTCTGCAGACTATGCTATCACAGGTCCTCAGGTGCATGTACACGAGGCATATTCCTTTGGCCATGGAGTTCAGCCAAGTAATTCAGCTGAGTTACTCTAGCCAAGTTCCACCCTTTATGCTTATTTGAAGTTAAAAAAACCCACGGTCATAGTCAGTCCCAACTCACAGTAAAACCAAGAACAGAGTCGAAAACCTCCTCCTTAGGGTTTCCTTTGAAAATACGAATATAGTCACCAGGGCATTAAACACCAGTCACTGTAGGCCCCCTTTCCTCTAGATGTCTTAGTGAATTATTCTGTAACTGCTGTTCATTTAGTGCAGGCTTTATCTGAAGGTAAATAACACCACAAGATACCTTCTCTGAATTATATATATGTACCTTTAGCTCCACAAATATGAGAGACAAGTATGAGTGAATTAAAGCTATTGCAAATCTTCCCAACTCAGAGCATCCAAATTAGTGTGAGATACAAAGAACAGGATAAAAGAATCTTGTCAATTTTGGGTAGGATGCCTAACAACTGCCAACCTAGTACTGCAGAACTGAGCTCTGAAGTTGGCCACTTAAAAATCATACCTGCTAATGGAGAAGAGACTGAGGACTTTAATGCCATGGAACTCGGTGGTCCGGAGGGAGATGTGGGGTGGCTGAGGGACCCAGGTGAACCCATCTTGGGGGCAGGAGCAAACGGCAGCACTGAGGGTGCGCTCTGTGAGCTGGTAACAGGAGCAGAGGTAGTTACGGCGGTAAACCTGAAAATGGTGGCCAAGAATACATCAGCACAGGTGGCTAGAAAGATAACTTACTTCAGGTCATATGTAATGTTATCACAGGATAAGTTGTGAGGCAGGCCATCCTGACTGCATGAAATATAACTACATATACAGTATTACAGAAGGTGAAACAAGAAAATACTGTCTGCTTGTTTAGGAATGATTATTCAACTATCAAGTAGGTACTTAACATAAACATGAAATTACCACAGTAATGTCTGACATCAAGTAAATTACAACTCACAGTGATCTATGACAAGGAGGAGAGTGACAGCCACGGGGTTTCCTACACAGGAGTTTTTACAGGACCAGACTGCCAGGCCTTTAGCAGCTGAGAACTTTAACCACTACGTCATTAGGCTTTCTTGTTTACCATGATAGGAAATAACTATTTTCTACTCTTTCAATCTGAGTTTAAAAAAAAATGAGGGTAAAATGGTCAGGTGAGAGAGACCCAATGCTGCGGCTTCTAGTTGCTGTGCCATTGAGTCGGAACTGACCTATACCTGACCTGCCAGTGGGTTTTCAGAGGCAATTAAGTTGCTGGGAGGAGATCTTTCCTTTGCAGCAGCTGGTGGATTCAAACCACAGGCCTTTGGAATTGCAGCACAGCTTCTTACCACTAGGCTACCAGAGCTCCCAAGAAGAGGTTAATACATTCTCTTTTGCCAAAGAAAAGCACTCATTTTGAAGGGCAAATGCTTCCTCTGGAGAGAGACAAAGGAAGAGGAAAGTAGGCTGCCATCTTTGAGAAGTTTACAGATCAATGAGAATTTTGAGTCAGTTAAACATGGTGTGCAAAAAGTCAAGCTGGGTATGATAAATATTCAGCAAAAGATGGCCAGTCAAATAAACTATGGTGCACAAAAAAAGGGAACAATATGCAGACATCCAAATAAGTGGCTCACCACGCACTCATTTAACATTCACAACCAACAATGACAGCAGCAGACACATCAGCAACCACCACCACCACCACGACAAAGATACCAAAGTAGACATGGAGGAAAAAAAACACTAAGTGTACTCAGTGGTTGTTCTGATGGCCAACAAACACATGAAGAAATGCTCAAGAACACTACTAAGAGAGAGATGCAAATCAAAACAACTACGAGCTACTATCTCACCCTAGCAAAAATAGCACCATTCAATAAGACATCAAACAACAAATGCTAACAAGGCCGTGGAGAAATTGGAACTCTCATACACTGCTGGTGGAAATGTAAAATGGTGCAACCACTATGGAAAGCAGTTTGGTACTTCTTTAAAAAGATGGGACTAGACGTACCATTTGATCCAGTAATCCCACTACCAGGTAAATATCCCAGAGAAGTAACAGCTGCAACATAAACTAATGCACATCCATGTTTACTATAGCATTATTTACAATAGCAGATGTGGAAACAGTTCAGTGTCCATCAACAGACTAATGGCTAAAGTAACTGTGGTGAAATGTATTATGTATTATTTAAAAGAGTATTATGTATTATTTAAAAATGATCAAGAATTTGTGAAATATTGCACAACACGGATAAAAACAAGAGCAAATGATGCTAAGTGACAAAAGTTAATTACAAAAGGACAATAATGACATATGACCACTAATATAAAAAGCTAAGGAAAGGTTTACATAAAGATAGAATCAATGCCTGAGAGTTAACAGAGATAAGAAAGGAGGAAGAGGGGAGAAAAAAATTTAATAGATTAATTCAACAAAGGAAAAGGCAACATACAGTGAGAGCTTGGAGAGACATTGCAATTAATTACATTAATTAACTGTAACTGACGTACAAAACAAAATGTGTGTGAATGACTGAAAGAAAAGCAGTATGATTCGTAAACTTTTACTCAAATGGAAAAATAATTGGCTATCTTGGTAAAGATTACAGGATATGGGGATTACTTCCTTCAAGAATTTATATTCTAGTAGGGAGAATACAGAAGTACATAAAGTAAATAAGATATGAGTAGGCAGGACTCAGATCTAAGAGGAACTATATACTATGTTAAAGACTTCAGACTGTATCCAAAAGGCAGTGAGAAGCCAGTGGACCAGGCTGTGAGCCAGAAGAATGACCCCGAAATGTTTACAATTTTACAAGCTCATTTTAGCAGCTGAGAAATAGGACAAGTATTCATTTCCTTTATAAGATACACACTCGTTATTACTTTTTAAAAAATAAACAAGGAAATATCCCACATCTAAATATATATTTCTAATAATTTTTAGAATTCTACCTAATAGACTCTTTTGAATTCAACCACTGATAAAATCAAAGCTTTTATGTTTGAATTTTTACCATTTGCAAGTAGTACTTCAGGGAAAAAGGAAACTTAAGTGACTCTCGTGAACAGCACACAAGACTTCTCATCTCACAGAAAAATCAAATATTCTTCAAAAATCACTTACTTTTCACTAAGGTTGATTTTGACTGCAGACGCTGAAGATGGGAAGGATTTCATTCCGGCATTTGGTGTATACACTGGTGTGCTCTCCAGGGTGGGTTTAAAACCCACTGACGCAAAGGAAAATGACGGTGACACAGTAGATGGCATAGGGGAGGGGGCGACTGAAGTTTTCGAAGGAGGAGCAAAAGAAAAGTTTGAAGCAGAGCCCAGGGTTGGTTTGGAACTGTCTGATGCAACAGAATATGAAGGGGGTTCCCCAGGGACAGAACCAGATGACTTTAAGGATGAACTAAAGGAGAACATGGCAGGGCTTCCACCAACAGCTGACAAAGAGACAGTAGCGGTGGGAAACGTGGGCAACACAAATGGAGCAGGAGCAGGAGCAGGAGGTCCAGCTGCTGTGGTATCAAATTTTTGAGGGGCCGGAGGGAAGGTTGGGGTGGTGGGAGTACTTCCTGCAACAAAAAACAAACAAACAAAAAATGCCACAGAAAGGCAAAAGTTATTGCTGAGAATGTAAAGAGCAAAACATATGCCAATTCAACAGCTTCTACATGTATAATTTGGCAACAGTGACCCCAGCCTTCAAGTGGTGTGACCATTCTCACCCTCATTTCCGTAGGTGTTCTTTCCTCATTAGCAAAAAACTCACTGTTTCTAAGGTTCCTATAAAATTTTGCCAGTTTCTATTGTCAATTTGATCCCGTAATAGTTTACCATAGCCTTATGAAAATTTCATATTGTCTTTTCACAAGTGATAAGCATAGCCACTGTGAAAATTTTGAGAATACAGAGTAGTATTTTCATGTGGGCTTTTATGCCAATGAAGTATGTGTACCAAAATACTGACAGTGGACATTGTTGGATTTATTTGTATTTTCTAATTTTTCTCAAAAATACACAAAGACCCCCCCAAAAACACCAACAAAATCCACAAGAAAAACCAAACCCAATAAATGTATAAAATATAAACAAAAATAAAATCTTAATGTCCTTTCTATTTTGGTCACCATTTTACTATCCATATTTCAGGCATTTTGGGTTTTTATGTCTTTCTCCCTCAAGAAAAATGGGATCACACAATATATAGTACTTTTTCTTTTAATTTTATTTTTTATTGATATTTTAATAAAGTTTACAGAAAACTTGTATTTCCAGTCATTCATTCTTGCACATTTTCCTCCCTATCCCCCCACAGTTCACTTTTCTCTTTAAAAAAATTCTTTTATTGTTACAGTTTCCTCCCCCCCAAGTCCCCCAGTCCACTTTGCTTATGCACCTCTTATTCTGGACTGTTGTCATGGAAATACTACTTAATCACATATTCCTTTTAAATCATTCTTTCTCTCATTTGTTTCTTATTTATCCCCCCTTTTCTTAATTTGGGCCCAACCGTGAGCTTAGTCTTGTTAGTCCTTAGTAACAGTGGCATATTTGTCCTTTTGTGACTGAGATAATTCACTCAGTATAATATCCTCCAGGGTCAACCATTTTGTATAATATTTTGAGTTCCTTGTTTTTCAATGCTGCATCGTATTCCATTGTGTGACTATACCATAGTTTCTCTACCCATTCATTTGTTGATGGGCACTTGGGTTGCTTCCATCTCTTTGCTATTGTGAACAACATAGCCATAAACATGGGTGTGCATATATCTGTTTGGGTGTCAGTTCTGGTTTCTTTGGAGTATATAGCCAGTAGTGCAACTGCTGGGTCAAATGGTATTTCTATTTCCAACTTTTAGACAAAGCACCATACTACCTTCCATAGTGATCGCTCCACTTTACATTCCCACCAGCGGTGAATAAGGGTTCCAATTTCTCCACAACCTCGCCAGCATTTGTTGTCTGAAGGATCCCTGAAGGGTTAACCGCAATACTGAGGAGTCTGCTGTACAAGGAAATGTTCCAGGAACCCTGAGGCCCTTGCATGCCAGGGACCCTTAGAAATGACTTTGTTCCAGGAATTGCTCTGCATCAGCACTCCTTAATAAGCTGTTTTACCCCTAAAGGGTTAAGCTGAGAAAAGTTCTAAAGGCTAGAGAATGTTTCTAAGGACATCGAGTCAACAGTCCTTTATCAGACTTTTTTTTTTCAATATTAGTCATAATTTATTTTGATTGACAGTCAAATACCTTGTTCACAGTCAATGAAACACAAATAGAATTCTTCTATTCTTCTCTAGGGTCCATATGACATCAGCAATGATATCCCTGGTGCCGTGGTGTCTTCTAAACTCAGCTTGAACATATCAATTCCCTGTCAATGCACTAGGATTTTTTTGGATGACCTTCAGCAATATTTTTATTGCATGTCTATTAATGATATTGTTATATAATTTCCAAATTCTTTTGGGTCATCTTTCTTGGGAATGGGAACAAATAAGGATCTCTTCCAGTCAGTTGGGCAGGTAACTATCCTTTAAATTTCTTGGCATCGACTGATGAGTTTATCCAGGATTGCATCTGTTAGTTGAAACATGCCAATCAGTATCCCATATATTCCTGGGGCCTTATTTTTTGCCAGTGTCTTCAATGCAGCTGGAATGTCTTTCTTTGTTCTTTTTGATAGCCATGCTCGTGTTCATGGTGATGCCTTTGCACTGGATCTTTCATTCAATATGCAGGCCCAGGTTGCCTTTTAAATCTTCTGTTTCTCGGACCTCACACATCACCTCTCAGCCAGAATCGGGAGCCAGAGGCCCCTGCTCGGGCCTCTGCGACCGGTTCATGAATCCTGGTCCTTGCTTGGAGTCTCGGATTCCAAGGCGTGCGAAGCGAAATAGGAAAGCTCGACATCCATGATGTAGGCTCGTGGGGTGGCAGTGCAGGGGGCCTATCAGACTTACTCAACCACTGCATCCACAAGTCAAAATACAGTGGGAAAACAGTGTCTTGGGTAGTTTAAAATAACTTGCTCCAGCCAAAATATTTTTTGTTTCTCTGTACCCTAAAAGATGTGTATATGCATTTCAGCACCCTGAAAAACCTGTACATGCTCTTCAGCATATGTCTTTCTTTGTGCTTTACAATAAATACCAGGTCCAGCTCCAAAAGGGTGCTGCTAGTCTAACAAAGCTTTAGCCCTTCGTCTCTGTACCTCTAGTGAGTCTCTGCCTTCTGTGACCAACGAGCCCAGAACACCAGGTACAACAGCTGTTTACTGCTCTGTTGATCTTTACTATTGTTAGTGGGGTGAGATGGTATCACATTGTTGATTTGCATCCCTTAGAGCTAGGGATTCTGAACATTTCTCTTCATGTGTTTGTTCACCATTTGAATGTCTTCTTTGGTTAAGTGTCTGTTCCTATCTTGTGCCCACTGGAGTATTCTATGTTGTTGCTGTTATGTGTCATCCAACTCATAGCAACCCTATGTACAACAGCCCTAAACCCTACTCTATCCTGTGCCAATCTCACTGCCTCTGACACACCCATCCCAATTACCCCAGTCACTGAATCAATCCACCTCATAGAGGGTCTTCCCCTTCTGCACCGTCCCTCCACCCTCCCAATCATGATGTCCCTCTCCAAGGACCTGTCCGTCCTTACAACATGTCCAAAGTATGTCAGACGAAACCTCAGAATCCTTGCCTCCAAGGAGCAGCCTGGTTTAACCCTCTCCAGGATTAATCTGTTTGTTTTTTTGGCAGTCCAAGGTATATTCAATACTCTTCTCCAGCACCACAGCTCAAAGGCGTCAATTCTCCTATCCTCCTTAGCCATTGTCCAACTCTCTGATGCCTAACAAGTGATTGCAAAGACCATAGCCTGTATAAGACACACCTTAGTCTTCAGATTGACACCATTGCTCTTCAGTACCCTGGAGAGGTCCCTAATAGCAGACTTCCCCATTGCAATACATTTTTTTATTTCCTGGCTACTGGTGCCAAGAGTGTTGACCGTGGAGCCAAGCAGAGTAAAGTTGTTAACAAGCTCAATCTCTTCACCATCCATCCAGATGCTGCCAATTGGTCCAGTGGCGAGAATCTTTATCTTTGAGACACTGACCCTCTGCAGCAAGCATTTCAGGTCCTCCTCAGTTTCAGCAAGCAGGGTTGTGTCATCTGCATAATGCAGGGTTGTGTCATCTGCATAACGCAGATTGTTAATAGATCTTCCACCAAACCTGATGCCAAACTTTTCCTCATAGAGCCCAGCCTCTCAGGTAATCTGTTCTGCATACAGGTTGAAAAGGTATGGAGACAGGACGCATCCCTGGCGTACGCCCTTCCTAATTTTGAACCAAGCAGTGTTTCCTTGCTCTGTTCTGATGACTGCCTCTTGGTCCAAGTATAGGTTTTGCATTACAACGATCAAGTGTTCTGGGATTCCCATTCTTCTCAGAGTCAGCCACAGTTTGTTATGATCCACACAGTCAAACGCCTTTGCATAATCAATGAAACACAGATAGACATTGTTCTGGTATTCCCTGCTTTCAGCTAAGATCCATCTAACATTAGCTACAATAACCCCTTCTAAACCCAGCCTGGACTTCCGGCAGTTCTCTGCTGATGTGCTGTTCCAGTCATTTTTGGATAATCTTCAGTAGAATCTTGCTTGCATGTGAAATCAATTATATCATTCTATAGTTTCCACACTCTGTTGGGTCACCTTCTTTGGAATGGGAACAAATATAGATCTCTTCCAGTCACTTGGCCAAGTGGTTGTTCTCCAGATTTCTTGGCGCAACTTGGTGAGCACATCCAGGGCAGCATCTGTGAACTGAAATATGTCAACTGGTATACCATCTATTCCTGGGGCCTTATTTTTTACTATTTCCTTCAAAGCAGCTTGAACTTCTTCATCACCATAGGCTCTTGCTCATATGTGATTCCATTAAATTCTTCTGTGTCTGCCAGTTCCTTTTGCTATAGTGACTCAATATATTCTTTGCATCTTCTTTTAATATTTCCTGGATCATTTAATATTCTGCCCTATAAAGTCCCTTTTTTAGACATGTCATTACCAAGTATTTCTTCCCAGTCTGTGGCTTTCCTTTTCATCCTGTTGGAGAAGTTCTTTGATGTGCATAGGAATATGATTCTTAGAAGGTACCAGTCATCTATTTTATTTCTCTCCGGGTTTTTCAGGATGCTTGGGAGGCCATTCATGCTGTGGATTAGGGCTTTTAAGAGTTCTTCTAAGCTTTTCTCTGATGAATTTTATAGTCGTTGGCTTTATTCCTAGGTCCTTAATCCACTTGTAGTTGGTTTTTGTGTATGGTGTGAAGTATGGGTCTTGCTTGAGTTTTCTACAGGTAGTTTTTCAATTTTGTCACTATCATTTGTTAAAGAGGCTTTCGTTTCCCCATTTAACTGATTTCATCTCCTTGTCAAAAATCAGTTGACCATAAGTAGAGCTGACTTCTAGGTTCTCAATTCTATTCCATTGATCTATGTCTCTGTCACTGTACCAGTACCATACTGTCTTGACCACACAGCTGTGTAATAGGACTTGAGATCAGGGAGTGAGATGCCTCCTACCTTGTTTCCCTTTTTAGAGTACTTTATTTATCCAAGGTCTCTTTCCATTCCAGATGAAACTGGAAACTGCCTTTTCTATCTCGTTGAAGTATAGAATTGGTATTTGTATTCGGATTGCACTGAACTAGTTGATTGCCTTTGGTAGAACTGTCATTTTCACAATATTGAGTCTTCCTATCCAAGAGCATGGTATATTCTTCTATTTCTCCTGGTCTCTTTTTGTTTCTTGTAGTAATGTTTTGTAATTGTCTTTGAATAGATCTTTTGTGTTTCTAATTAAGATTTACTCTCAAGTATTTAATCTCTTGATTAGTTATTGTGATGGGTAGTGTTTTTCTTAGCTCTAGTTTTGTATTCTCTTTGTCACTGTAGAGAAATCCAATTGATTTTTGTTTTTATTTTTAGGGTTTGTTTGTTGTATTTTATTGTGTGTGTACCATCAATTCAGATCTGACTGGTACAAGAGGAGATTGTCCCTTCTTCTCCAGCAGAGCATCTGGTAGATTCAAATCACGTTCCTCTGGGATTGCAGTGCAGCTTCTTGCCACTAGGCCACCAGAGCTCCGTTCCCCCACCCCCCCAATTGATTGTGGTTTTTTTTCTCTCTTTCTCCTCCTCCTCTTCCTTTTTTTTTCTATAATTATATTTTATTAATTTTCATAAACATTTACAGAGATTTCGGGTTTCCATTCATTCATTGTTGCACTATTCTCCAATTGATTGTTGTATGTTGATCTTATATCCTGACACTTTTCTGAATTGGTCAACTATGTCCAATAGTTTTCTTGCTAAGTCTTTAAGGTTTTCTAAGTATACTATCATATCATCTGCACAGAGAGATTATTTTACCTCCTCTTCGCCAATTTGAATACCTCTTATTTCCTTCTTTTGTGTTATTGCTATCACTAAGATTTCTAATATAGTACTGAATAGGAGAGGTGATAGTGGGCATTCTCAAAGGAAATGCCTTTAATCTCTCTCCATTGAAAACAATGTTGCCTCTTGGTCTGGAGCATATACTTACTATGTTGAGGAAATTCCCCTCTATTTCTATTCTTTTTTTTTAATGGAACACTTCTTGCTGATCTTCTCTGTATCGTTCCAGTTTTAGTATATGTGCTGCCGAAGTGAGCACTATTTCTACTTTCTATTTCTGTTGAGTGTTTTAACCAGGAAACGGTGTTGGATTTTGTCAAAGGCCTTTTCTGCATTAATTAATGGGATCATATTCTTGTTCTATTCATATTCTGGGTTCTTGTTCTTTGCTTTGTTAATGTGATGAATTACACTGATTGTTTTGCTTATGTTAAACCATCCTTGCACAGCTGTTATGAATCCTACTTGGTCATGGGGAATTACTGCTGAATTCTATTGGCTATGATTTTTGCACCTATGTTAATGAGACATACTAGTCTACAGCTTTCTATTTTGGTGGTGTCTTTACCTGAATTTGGTACCAAGGATATGTAAGTCTGGGAGACCTCCATCTTTTTCTATTTTCTGAAATGCTTTTTATAGAATTGGTGACAATTCTTCTCTGAATGTTTGATAAAATTCACTTGTAAAACTATGCGGTCCAGGGCTTTTTTTTGTTGGAAGTTGTTTTATTACCTATTCTTGTTTTATATTGGGTCTGTTCAGTGTTTGCTTAAGTCTGTGTCAGTTTACGTAGGCTGTGAGTTTCTAAGTATCTGTCCATTTCCTCTAGGTTTTCGTATTTGTTTGAGTATAGTTTTTCCTAATAGTCCACTGTTAACCCTTTTACTTTAGCTGGTGTTATTATAACATTGCTTTTTTCATCTCTTACTCAAATTATTTGTCTTTTCCTTTGTTAGATTTGCTAGTGGTTTGTTGATTTTATTGACCTATTTGAGGAACAAACCCCTGGATTTGTTGATGGTTTCAACTGTTTTCTATTTGATTTATTTATGTCTTAATTTTTATAATTTCAGTTTTTTTAGAAGGTGTCAGGTTTTCCTGTTGTACTTCTTCAAATCGCTGGAGATGTTGGTTAGAGAGTCAATTATTTTTTCTTATCTTTTGATGTGCCTGCTTATTGCTATAAATTGATCTCCAATATATAGTACTTTTTCACAATTATCCCATTAACTTTTGATGTCAATAAATATGACATCTCACAGCTCTGATGGCCTAGTGGATAAGGAGCGATGTGGCCAACCCAAAGGCAGGCAGTTCTAATCTACCAGTTGCTCCTTGGAAATATCACCTCCCATGCAATACATAGCCTCTAAAAACCTACTGGAGGGTCAGCTCTGAATTAGTTCCAACTTGAGGGCAATGAGTTGTTTTAGTTGTTCACACTATAAAGATTCCATTTATTTATCAAAAATTTAGGATTAAGTACAAAGTCTTTAGGATTCTGATCATATATATGGTCTTATATTGATGGTAAATAATTTGATAGCGTCCATATGAATGATTTTCCTCTTTGTCCAAAGTAAAGTTGTAAAGATTGGCGATAAGGGAAGCCAAGTATGTACAAATATACGTGAGGAAAAATGTATTCTTTGCTTTATTTAGAGAGGTCAGATAATAATAATTATTATTATCATTCTCTTTAGGAATATTCCCATATAAGCTAACAATAGTCTCTTTCTGACAAAGGAAGGAGAACCACATACCTGACGACTTGGGTTGTCGCTCCCCTTCTAATGAGAGCTCTTCTGGTGACTTGATAAGGGATCTAATGCCAGGATTTTGATTGATCATATAAAATGGGCAAAGCACACCATCAGTTGAAAGTAACATAAGAACTGGGGCAGGAGGAAGAGTCTTTTCATCATCTGTATTAAAAAAAGAAAGAAAGAAAGAAATTGTGGTAAAAACAAACTAAAGTCAATATAAGGGCTTAGTCCTAGAAAAAAAAGACCTCAATGGAAGAGAAGGGAGCTTGATGAACTGACTCCTCTTAAAAGAAGCTCACATCAGTTTATTCTGATTCAGACCTCAGGCGACTTTTGTGCAGCAGGTATTTATCTAAAGAGCACAACTGACACTATCAAATCATTGTCGGTTATTTTAAACCTGCATTCCCAAAGCTCTTACATTCCCAAAGCTTGGATAGTTCTTATGAATGTGTTCAGAAGGTATGACCAGAATTTTTCTGACCAAGACAGGAGTCTCCAGGTGTACTGAGAAGAGAATGACAGATGAGGCCTTTTGGAAAGTATGTGGCAGGACAGAAAGATGAGTCAAATGACTATGCATTTACTCACAAGAGAATCATACAAGCACTTTTCCTTTGTATTTAAAACTCCAAGAGAGCCAGAGTAAATCAGCTTCTGGACAGTGTAAACTGCTAAGCAGACTAGAAACTTCTGCCTGACTGGGGAAAGGACAAAAAACTTACGGATGCCTGGCAGGGACACCTCTCTAAAAACAGAAGCACCAGAAGGAAGATAGAGAGCATTTTTCTGGCTATAGTTTCCCATTTCCCCGGCAAGACTCTGACAGTAGAGACACAGACCAGCCTCAATTTGGAAGCCACAATAGTTCTGTTTTGTAAGAGAAACACACACCAAATATTGCCATATAGCATGCACTCTGATTAGGGTATTAGAAAATTCTTCACAACAGTTAAAGGGAAAGGGGGCAAAAACTCTAAGGACTCTTTAGCATATGAAAAAAAGAAAGAACAAGTATTTCAACTGGTTTTAAACATATGAGAGGAATTCAAAGTAAAATACAATAGGTGGTACTGTACAATAAACAAACTATTTATCAGAGATTTAGTCCAAAATCTAGTAACATATTTCTAGTAAAGCTATGATGGACACTACTATATACTGTCAGAAATTTCTTGCTAGGTGCTGTCAAGTAGTGTATGACTCAGAGAAACCCTATGAACAAGACCTGAATCCTGTGCTCTCCTGTACCACCCTCATCATCTCTGATAACGCTTGAACCTATTACTGCAATCACCATGTCAACCTATGTCATTGGGGGTCGTCTTCTCCCTCATTGATCCTCCACCTTTCCAAGCATGACATCCCTTTCCAAGGAATAGCATCTTCTACCAACATGTCCAAAGCATGTGAGACAAAACTTCCGCATCCTTGCCTCCCAGGAGCACTCTGGCAGCACTTTTTCCAAGACAGATCTGTTCATTCTTTTGGCTGTCCTAGGGATATTCAGTTCTCTTCACCAAAAGACAACCTGAATTAGGGGTACCTTACCCTTCAAACTAGTTGTTAGAAATGGCACAAAACATGCAGTGCAGAGAAGATGCAAAATTAAATATGCATTACCCCTTCCTGACCAAGTAACCTCTCTGTTATAAATTTGACCTTAGGTTACAACTGCATAATCATGAAAAAAGATTTCAAGATTACTTATAAAAGCAAAAATATTTAAAACTACCTAACTATGCATGTAAGACTAGTTCAATAAACTATAATACGTCTACACAACAGAAGCCAACACAAATAATTAAAAAAGATAAAGATCTCTACGTAGTGATATGGAGGGGTCTTCTAAAATGTTATTAAGAAATACTGTAAAAAAATTTTTAAAAATTAAAAAAAATATTGTTAAGATAAGCAAAGTGTAATGGTATATACATAGTAAGTCTTGCACAATAAAGAGGAGAAATACCTATGTATGTGTGCTTAGGTGTTTATTTCCAGAAAAAAGAAATCTAGAAAGCATAGGATAAACCAGAGACTAAAATAAAATTATCCATGGATAACTGAAGTAAAGGCCCCGCTGAGATTTGAATCCAGGATCTCCTGTTTACCAGACAGATACCTTAGCCAAGACCCTGAATGAGATGGACTGACATGTTGTGGTAATGGAAAGTCACAATCAGCTCAAGGGCACATAACAACAACAATAGATATTATATGTTGTTGTTGTTGTTGTTATGTGCCATCGAGTCGTTTCCGACTCATAGCGACCCTATGCACAACAGCTCTAAACCCTGCTCT